GAACGTGAGGGTATATGAAAGCCTATATCTTTGTTGAGAAATGGATCCACTTCATTCAGACTGTTCACCAAAGATGCCAATGTTTGCTATCCCAAAGTGCTCCTTGTGCCTGCTGTTCACTCACCGCTGACAGGCACACTCCTGGCATCAGCTCACTGTATGATGGCAAAGGTTCCTCTCTCTGTTGTCCAGAACATGGCAAGACCAAAGCTTTGTTTCACAAGCTGCTCAGAAAATCTTCCCTTTCCCCTTTCTACATCTAAAGGCTTCTGGTGCACAAGATTTGCACCTGGAAACTGCTTTATTTCTGAGAATACACCCATTAATAAACCTAGTCACGTAAGCAGAGCAAGTGCAGTCTTTCAAGTTCTTCCCGAGGGAACTCTCTGAACCTACATGGTTTTGTATGCAGAACCTTGTATTGGCATGAAAAAAAAAGGCGCACGACCATTTTCTGAAAACCAAAAAGACCATTTTGGTTAAAATCCCAATATACTTTTGCCTCCCAGTGTCTAGTAGGCCATAATGACAAAGTTGAACAGATTACTAAATAGATCTGTTCCATCCTATTGGGGAAGATGGAAGGGGGAAGCCCAGGTGAACATCAATTTATTTGTAAGTACCACTGAGGTAACCCTGAAGATTAGATAACTAAAATGACAAGACCAATGATCAGCCTCTGGGGTGACATGAGGAGCAGCTCAGAACCACAAGGGATGAAAGGCCTGTTAAAAAGCTGGATCTGACTTCTAGACAGAAACTGGGCAGATGAATACTTCCTCAGACTGAACTGAGAACCATTTACATCAAGAAAACAGACATGTGATACCTGCTTTCTCACAGAGCTTTACATAAAGGACCAGACACCCTTCAAGGATCAGCTACCATTTCCTATAGTGTGTTAAGCTTTAGCTGTGTGGAACTGCCCAAGCTGTGGCTGAGCCCACAGCAGTGAGTTGCCTTGCTCCAGGCAGGCTGCCACAGCCACTGATTTCACTTGAGAAAAGCTGTAGGAACACCAAGGAGGTGGTTAGGCCGGTGCCCATAACCCTCCTTAGCAGGGTTAAAACATGTTGGCCAACATCTTCAGGCACACGCAGCCTCAACATTCATGTGCACAGAACAGAAGGACAGTGTACAAATCATGGTTTGTATTGCAGGGCTTTTGAGGATGGGATGCACTCAAAAACATGCATGGCACATTAATCATGCCTGTGTAAAACATATGACATGCATCGTGGATCTATGTACAAACACATTGGGATCTGAACAAATCTTAACTGAGAAAGAACAGGGGGAACAAGTGATTTACATCACAACAGCAGAGCACACAAAGGCTGAGGCACCTGGCTGGTCATGGGTCTTGCAAATGGACAATCAAAAGAACAGGGCAGGAGGGAATTTCATTTGGAGTTCAGATTGTAAAAGGTTTGGTTTTTTTTTACAGACAAGAAGGGCAGAATTTCCAGTTAAAGGTACCTGCCTCTGTAATACTGATGCTCTCTTAATTCTATCAAGAACAGTCTCTTTCTTTTCCCCACCAAAGAGAACTTGATAGTCACTTGGTATCATTAACATCTCTACAAGACAGCCATAACTGCAAAATGATACAGAGAGAAAAGCAAAACATCTGTTCACTATGCCCTTTACTTCTGTCTCAGATACTATCTTTCTAAAGACATGAACAACTATAATTTTATTATCTTTAATGTCTTCCTCATCTAATTTCATTCCACTGTCTGTCCCAGCTGAGGTGTACTGGGCAATAACGTTATAAACTCTTTTTAATCCTGCTGTTATTTGAGCCCACATTGATTTATTGTGGATTGCTAGCTGTCAAGCGTCATATTTCTCATTCCACACCAAAACTTAATCTCTAGCTTCATCTATTATTCTGTTATTTCAGAATATAATCTGAATCTATTAAATTCTCTATGTGTTTTTATAATGTCTACAACAACATCCCTATTTGTTTCATTTTTGATATACATTTCAATTTTCTGGTATTTTAATTAAAAAACCCCACTTTTAATATGCTTTTTTTTCCATTAAGAACAACAACACTGGAACAGATTCTATTTCTGTAAGAAGTCACATAATATCATATATGGTGACTTACCTCAGAGTTTGACCTTAAAGAAACACACCTATTCAGCATGTGGCAACACTGTTCTGAACATTAGGCCTGTGCCTAAGCTCCACTGAAGATGAAACATGGCTCATCTGAGATGGAGATGTTTCACAGCAGTCAAATATAGAAATTGTCAACACAAAACATTATGGTAGAGAAACTTCAGCACATCTAAAATGATCAAAGTTGAATTAATCCATTCTGATGTTTTCTCATACCAAGAAAAAGATTTAAATACCACAGACCACCTATAAAGACTTCAACTTAGTGTTTGTCACTGTTCTGTAGGCAACAAGCCAGCATAACTTATAAAAGGTAAGACAGACAATAAAACTTTCTATAAACCAACATTTGCTATTATCTGGAGCAGCTGCAGCCACCAGATTTCTAGAGAACACATGACAGACGATGTGAAATAGTGATTTTTACAAACAAAACACTATGAGGCACTACTATTATGTAAGGGAAAAACAGCGAAAAAATATCCAATGATACTGAAAGACAGCAAAATTGAATAGATGGAATTAGAAACATTAACTCATGAAAAGGGAAAACCCCCGACCACCATTATTCTGATCAATACCAGATATTACTGAGACCGACATCACACAAAACCGAATAGAATCATAGAATCTTAGAAGAGCTAGGGTTGGAAAGGACCTTAAGATCATCCAGTTCCAACCCCCCTGCCATGGGCAGGGACACCTCACACTAAACCATGTCACTCAGGGCTCTGTCCAACCTAGCCTTGAACACCACCAGGGATGGAGAAACTATGGAAAATGACAGTATCAGCGTTTGACACAGCTGAAAACACTATAAATGCATATTGTCATTATACTGGTCCCAATCCAACTGGGCTGTGCATCAAGGAAAAAAAAAATTCTCGTGTACACAAATTATTCTATAAAATCCGTCAGTTTTCATGTCTTGTTTCTAAAGTTAGTTTTGCCCCTTGCGAGATTTAACTTCATGAATCTGATCAAATATCAAACTTTCTATGTAATTATTTGCAGTTCTAAAATCAGTAATTCACCAAGTTTTCCTCTTTTTGTTTGTGGCATCACAGATCCTATGCAGTACCCCATAGCTCAGGGAAGTTAAAACAGTGAAACGAAGTCATGGCCTGATTCGATGTTATGGTGCCACCTTGTGATGCTGGATAAGAAGTGTCTCTAACATGTACACGGAGACAAAAATAAGCCCTAGGGGAAAAAGAAAGGAGACTGTTTCTATATGATCTGGAGAAACTGCAAGAAATTCCCACCCTGAGCCTGCTGGCAAAGAGGACCAGGTGGTTATTGACTAACAAAAGAGCATTCAGCATTTTAAGATTACATTAAAAGGGCATGAGAGAGCACAAAGAACTGCAGCAAAAACCCAACTGCTTTCCTCAATGCAGAAACAATTACAGAAATATGAGTTAATTCCACCAAACTCAGCAGAGTTACTGCAGATTAATACAGAAGTAATGAAGATCAGGTTTCAGACTGCAGGCTGTTATAAATCTCAGCTTATGGTATTCCTTTAAAACAATGATAACCTAAACTGCATTAATAAATAACATAGTTGTTACTTGCTTTTTGACTTTTTGTTTTATTCACTTTCACCAGCTCATTTTTGTCCCTAAATTGCTTCAAATATATGTAAGTTGGAGATAACACACACACACTCTTAGCTATTTTAAAAGAGGCTTTAGGTAATACTTTGTCTATTTTTGAAGGCAGATACAGAAATATCCATTCATATTCAAAACCTTTTCTGCAGTAAAAAATCTGTATCCTCTTTTAGGCCACATCCAAAATTGTTTTAAATCTCTTGCTGTTTCAGTTTCTTTCTCAACAGCCTGATAGTTCCTTTGCTAGTTAGTGAATCTGTCATGCTGCACTTCTAATTCACTCAATACTCTTGCTATAACAAAAGCTTCAGTCCTAATACATCCAACTACAGACAACTAAGAAACCACAAAGACAAAGCTTGTTTAGAAATGTATCCCTTACCTTTGCTACCAAGTGATATAACAACTTACCTACTGCTGGATGGGATTCTTTTGCTCCAGAAGCATTTGGAGTACATCTCTCTCTCAAACTCCAGGAACATATAATGTTGATGGGGTTTTTGTTACAGGAGGTGAACATCAGTCAAAAAATTAAAGGGAAGTTAAGACAATTGCATAATTTGTATCTGCAGTATTCTGCAAGAATTCTCCCTTAACTATGGACAGGAATATTCCTTCACAGGGTGCTCCCGATTTCTTTCTCTCTTTGTTTCTTAGCTCAGTAGGATGACTCAAGGGTTAAATACCTGACTGCAAGCCCAAGTGTCTCTTCAGTGAGTGATTTTCAGGTGAGGGAGGACATAGGGGAAAAAATACACTGAGCAGTTCCAAGGCAACTGAGGTCTTCCTTTAAGTGAAGAGGAGGATCTAATCGTGGAACAACACAGTGTGAGGAAGGAAAGAATTTCAGCTAATGGAAGTTCTAAAACATAGAAAGAGAACCCCAATGTTAAAAGGAAGTGATCTATGCCATCTGCATTGGATCCTTCTTGTCTGAATCATCTGATCCATAATCCTGCAACCTGGTATTTCACAATACATAATAATTGTGTCAGAAAAACACATCTGATGAGGCCTTCAGGATTAAATGCCTGTCTTGAAAGGAATAAAAAACCATTAGGTTGGTATTTTGAGGAACAGGAAGTAATTTTTAGCATAATCTCTCTTAATACCAATGTCTTGCAAATTGTTTGAACCAACCAATGCATCTAACTTAATCTGCTCCTTAGAAAGATTCAATTTGATAGTAATTGGAATAATGACCAGAAAGGAAATTAGTATGTGCTTAGCCCAAGAATTCCCAAAGCACGATAGAATGCATCAAAAGATTTAATTGTGATGACTTTGATACAGAAGCCATGTAAGTGACAGAGCCCTTCTATTGACTGTTAGAACAGTAATATACATATGATTGTCTTCAGGCCCCAGTACCTAACCAATACTGGAACTAACACAATGAAAGAACAATCTAGCTGATTTCCAGCTGGAGAGGGAAGAGAAATACAGAGCTGCATTCATGCATTTCATGGGAAAGATTGCATAGCTGGTTTAGAAAGAAAATGTCTTTTCATGTCCTTAGTAGTTGTTCTGTGCTTCTTCAACTTCTTCATAAGTTACAGATGATCAGATTTTTCCATTCTACATTATTAGCCCATAGAATGAGTAAAACACAGGACCCCACTTGAGAATAAGGACACAGTTTTAACATTTACCTTGGGAAGAAAGGAATTGTGTATACAGTTACCATATACAAAAGGCAAATATTTCAAGTTTCATAAGGACATGACAATCCATAAAATATAAGTTGAAGGTAAGCACCAAACCCAGCTACTGCCATTTCAGGGACTGAAAGGCAAACCTGGGATGTGGTTGTCTTCAACACCGGGAGCTTCATCTTGACTGCAGTTCTTTTACCTAAGGGAATTTCCATGCAAAATCCCCAGCTGTACAACACAGTGATAGAGGCATCTCATTACTTAAGGCCCTTGCTTTCTTTCAAATACTTTTGGAAAAGTCATCAAAGCTAATCTTTGTCTTTATTTTTTGCACTTTTCAGAGCAGTATTAAATATTCATAAATATAAAAAGTATGTGGAAACACCTTTAACAATATTCTGAATCTGCCTGTTTAAAAAAAGACGGGAAAAAAAAAGAGACAACCCACAACCCAACAACCAACCATCCTTTCCACAGTGCTTGGCCAGCAGTGAAGATAAAAATGTGACTGTTCCAACTATCCCGTGGATCACATGATGCTTCTGTCTCTTCGAGGACCAGAATGATTTCAGTACCTTCTGCTGAGTTCTAAGAAGCCATAATTAGAGGACAAAAGCCCCCAGAGTGCCTGAGATTCAGAAAGGCTGGACTGGCAAGTCATTTCTGACAACACTGGTCACAGAAACATCATCAGATTCTTATGTGGAAAGTACTGCAAAGGAAAGAAAAAGATTAAGAGATAGAAACACACCTATCATTATGCACAACATTTTCCTTCAAGTACAAAAAGGAAGGTGCTGTGTAATATATCTGAATCTCTTCTCTCATGCTCTCAGAAAGATTTAAGCACCCTGGGAGAAAACTCCACCTTCTGAAAATGTGAGCTCAGGGAGGCAAGTTCAGCACTGGAGTAAATCAAGTGTAAGTTGACCTATTTATTGGATAATAAATGTTTCCCAGTGGTACTTTTGCTATGGCACAGCATTTGGGTTCCTAAGCAAGTTAAATTAGGTAGATAAATTTGTTGTTTCTCTTGCTAGGACCAAGAGATCCTGATTTTATCTTCTATTTGCACTCTCAGATAGGCAAGCAGCATGCCTTACTACTGCCATCAGTTTTCACAAGAACTCCTGAGCATCTTAGCAGGACAGTAAAGGGCAATTTAAAGAGGGCACACTGAAAGCTCACTTTCTTTACGTAGTAATCTCTGTTCAATGCCACAACAGTATAAACCATAGGCTTCTTTCTTCACTGAAATAAGAAGGGATTACTATGTATTTTTATATGTAAATTCTACCATTTTGATGCCTATACTGAAAGAAAACTATCAAGGTTTAGAGTATTTGGGAGGCTGAAAAGTTCTGGATAGACAGGTTTTGGATTTCATTTTACAAAAAAAAAAAAAAGCTCTAACTTAGTCACAGCTATTTGATGCGAGTCAGGAATTCACTGAACAAAGCCCTGTATGTATTCAGAGGATACAAAATTTTATATTCATAGTGGTACCAAGGAACTTTGTATTGTAGGAATGTCTCCAGTCTGGGTGACACTGAAAGATAAGACGTACAGCAGTCTGGCACACTTTGTACTGTGAAAGATACCAGCACTAGTGTTTTAGAAAAACAGAAAGACAAACATCTTGTTCACAACTCAGGCAATGTCCAGAGCCCCACATTAATCCAGCTGGTTGAAAAGTTAAGTCCCACACAGGCAGTATCTAGGAGCTAAAAAGTTCACAGCATTGGATGTGAAAACATCTTAGTCATGACTCTGTAAAAACAAAAATCAAGCCAAAACCACTTCAGTGGGAATCTCTATTAGAAATGTCTTGTACCATTTTGGAGATTAAGCTTTTTACTAAGAAGCAGCTAAAATATTCTGTGAAAAACACTGACAAAAACTATTCCCTTCCTCTGCTTTCTCACTAAACATCTCGTGCCCATTTGTCACTATCTCTAATTTTAGTCCTTGAGAACTAGATAATCTTCATGTTCGGACAGGTCTTATGACATATACATTTCTCATAAGAGAACTTCTGCTACTTAAGCTTCAGGTAGGACTTGAGTAAGGGCATCCACTGTTGTATGGGTGAAGGCCCAGTAAGGTTTCAGAAAAGCTGCATTTCCAGTAACGCCTTGTTGTTTCTCTGTCTAGTTCTGGCAGCTGCCAGGTGTTACTAATGCCATATTCTGCTCAGACTCCATTTCCAATTGTTATAGTATGTTTCACCTTCAGGCATTCAAATAAGCTTAAACTTACAGGATGATTTATAAAACAATTTCCTGTGGAAAACGTAACCAGTCTTGTAGAACAGAACACTCAGCTAGTGCCAGTTCAGACTGCTAATACTGCCATTAAACTACAAGTGGCTTCTTAATGACAGCAAATTTGAGTGAAATAAGCCTACTGGGATCAAATTTTCTGAACTAACAACTGACATTATCATTTACAGCTTGCTCAAGCTTCTGGGATAGCAGCCAAAAATGTATATATCTTCTTCCCTGGCCAACCATCAGCAGTGTTTTCTTCTGGGCTTAAAAAAATTCCTCAACCACAGCAGTGCAAATCAAGAAGCAGCCTTGTACTGCAGCTTCGTTTGCTTGACAGCAGTACAGAGCTTGCAAAGGCTGTCTGCAGGAGATTAAACTTACACAGGGTCATTAAGTAAAGGCTTGAGAAATAAATGATAAGGAAAATCAGTCGATGTACAGTGGATGAACTTTAGCTTGCATCAGGTCAAAGCCTGCACCATGGTGCCAAAATTAATGCCAACTGTATCTATTAAGTATGCATGAGAGGATGACAGCTTAATCAAACCCAAACAACATACTGAGCTGTGTGGAAAAGGGCTTCAAAAAATACAGTGCATATTGTTATGGGAGTCTGGCCTTCAAAGGTTTTCCACAAACAAAGTAAAACAAGGTACTCCTCAGTAATTTCTTCTCTCATATTAATGATGATGAGATTTTACAGTTGGATAGTTCATAGGATAAAAGTTCTCAATGTTTGTCAGAAGTCAGGGAAGCACTGGTCCCTTGTAACAGAGCAGAGATCACCTGCTCAAGCAATGGCAAAGCATATTTGTCACTTCATCCCTCTTTTTACTCATCTTCTTGCACTGCTGAGTACCCACCACTCAGGTCTTTCCACTCATCTCCACAGCCTCCCAGAACATCACAAACTTGGAAAACAAAAATAATTATGACAGTCATTCCAGTGACTACAGCAGCAAATGCCCCTCCACTTTCTCAGGAAATTACTGGATTGCACAGCATCCTCAGCTTGGAATTCTCAGTCAGCAGTTTGCAAGCCTCTACAACACAGCAGTGAAGTCAGTCATGGCACAGGAAACTTCTGAAGCTACAGCTTTTGCTGAGTCTTCAGATCTGCCTTCAATTCTTCACATTTGATGTCTGTTCTATACGAGATCTGATTGATTAAAGGAATCTACCTGACCCCAGCAGTTTCTAATACGGATAACAGTATAAAGAAGAGATTTTCTTAGGTGGAAATACATGTAAATAAAATATGAGAATACCTATTCAGCTGAGCCTCACCATAATGGCAATATGTATCTTGTTCTAAAAGAGCTTCTGTTGTTACACTTGATTAGTCAAGGAATACCTGACATGTTTCTAATGTATAAAATGCATCCACATTAACTTTGTGGCATATCTTCTTGAGGTGCTGATGTTTCTGAGGGTTCACAAGAATCATGTCCTCATGCTCTATTGTAGAATCATTTTAATCACCTTGTTATAATGTCTGTCCTCAGAAATTTCATTAATGAAAGAAATAAACTGCTCTGTGTTCTGCAGGACACTTAAAACTTGCAGACAGTTGTTGCATTATTCATCTTCCCAGACATTAGAATTTAGGTGTTATCATCATCACCAGACATACAGCAACACTATCAACTCCACAACAGTGTCTGTGAGCAAAGATTACAGAAAAAACTTGTTCAAGTTATCAAGCATTTACTATTAGACACAGTTAACCCAGATCATTTAATTTTGGGGAGAAATTTAGACCTAGATTTTAGCTTCAGCCTACTCTGCGAGTGGATTTAAGATTCAAATATGAACTCCTTCCAGTCTGGGAGTACATTATTTTACTGGCTGGTTCACTATAATTTCTTAAAGAAAGTCTATCCCTATATTTCTATAGGCTTAACTGTAAGTTTATGTAGGATGTTTTATTAAGGTGTAAAAATATCAAGTTATTGTCCTTTTCAAAAAGTCTCTTTAAATATGAAGCATGCAAGAAAAACCTTCTTAAGACAGCAGGGATTTATCTGCAGATTATTAGGGAGAAACTCAGCAACAACAATAAAAAAAATATCAGTTAGAAACAAACAAAAAAACCCCAAACCTGGTTAACAGTGGAGATGGAATTACTGCAGTAACGCATCAGTTCAATTGATTTTCTGCTACCAGCATCAACTGTACCACTGTAATGTCCTCTAGCTCTCATCTTCTCAGCACAAAAGATCAATGTGTTACCATGTATATTTGGAACGTGCATACAGTATTTACACACATACCTATTCAGATAGCCTGGATCCTTGCTAAAGGCTTGAGAACAATATGAATTTGAGCTTTGTTCAAAATAACACAAACAAAAAAGAAAACAAAAACCAAAGATGGTAAGCTGTTAGTCCTCAAGTTAGGAGAGATCTGGAATGTGCTCTCGAAAAGTAAACTGAGTTAGGGTAAGAAGTCATCCTCTAGTCAGCTCTTTAGTGAACTACTTATGTCTGGCATTTCTTATATTTCTTGTATTGCACAGTGTTAACTTAAAAAAGTACCTGATAACATGCAAGAGACTGTCCTTTCCTTACAATACCTGAGGAAGTCTGGTGCTTTGGAAATCATGTTTTCAAAGTCTGCAAATCCCAGTTTCCCATCACCATCCATGTCAGCTTCTTCTATCACTTTCTCACAAACCAGAGTGATTTCTTCTGCTGTTAGCTCTTCTCGGGTCAGCTTATTGAGGGTTTTTTCCAAGTCTGATTTACAAATGAAGTTGTCTGTGTTAAAGTCTAAACAATAAAAGAATCAAAGATCACCAGCAACTCTCATAGTAATTGACTTCAAAAGAAGAAGGCACACAAAAGCATCCCAATACGGTACCATAGATCTTGAAGGCATAGATTGCTTTAAGCTCTCTGGGAGCCATTTCACTGAGCACAGAGAACATATCCACAAAGTCATTGAAGCTGAGGCTCCCCTCTCCATCTTCTGAGAAAGATTCCACAATTCTTTCCTTGAAGGGATTCTCCTGTGAGAGACAGATATGTTTTGGGTTTAGTATTTGGAAGGTCAAAACCCCGCAGGTCCCCTGTTAATGAGTATTTCACTCCATGGTTGGCTCTTTAAAGACAACTTTATTTTCCTTCCAAAATCCATCTAAAAATGTCTATTGTTACGCTCTTGCAGAAATTGTCAGCAGAAGATGCTGCTGCACAGTACCACTGCTTACCCAGGCTTTCTCAGCTCTATTGCTATTCATTCTCTCTAAACTGATGCTCACCTCATTTTCCCTGTGTGGAATGCATGCTCTGTAACTGTAAGGGTAAAGATACTAAGAGGGTGAAGATCATTTGCATATAGCAGGTTCCTGACAGGGTGTAAGACTGCCATGGTCAGGAGAGTTACAGCTCCTACATTAAGAAGATAGCACATATGAACAGGGCATGAAAGGAGGGGAAGGAAATGGGGAGACAAGGTGGAAAGCCAGTGAAACAGAATGGGGTCTTTATGCCACCTGACCTAAGGCTGTAGGAACAAATATTATTTATGAAACCACTTTAGAAACCAAATATCTGCATTCCACACCTGACTGATGTGGCACCATCAACCAACCAGAAGCCAAACCAAACCTGTTTGTTAAGGATGTGGAGTCACAACCCAGTAGAATATTCAAGTCTTCCATTTTCACTCTCATACACATCAATATCCTACCTCTGGTTGAACTGACCACAGACTCCAGAGTTTTAAATGAAATTTCATTTCTGCAGGAGATGATACTAGGATGTCTTTCTAGCACTCTATCAGCCAAGTTGGTGTCGAACCTATCCTGAATAAGACAATATTCTAAAACCATAAACACACAAGCAAGCATAAGTTGCTTTATTACGCTGAAGTCCCAACCCAATATTCTTACAGTAACAAGACATCCTTCTCACAATTATGTGAAAACCCAAAATGAATTTATAGCTACGTCTATAAAACTGGGAAAATCTATTCAATTCTTTACTGTGAGGGTGGTGAAGCACTGGCACAAGTTGCCCAAAGAAGTGGTAAATGCTCCATCCCTGGCAGTGTTCAAGGCCAGGTTGGACAGGGCCTTGGGCAACATGGTCTAGTGTGAGGTGTCCCTACCCATGCCAGAGGGTTGAAACTGGATGATCTTAAGGTCCTTTCCAATGCAAACCATTCTAGGATTCTATGAATTTAGCTGAAAATGAACAAACTGCACAAACATCATTTCGGCTGTGAGCAGCACCTCATCAAAGCTGTTCTACAGCTCGTATCTGAAGCAAAGACACTAACATATTGATGTCCTATAAATGTAAGCAGCTTTGGTGGTGCCATATCATGTTCATTGTTTTTAATATGCATGCACCATTTTATTGGGCTTTAGAAGAAGCAGTATTGTGAAAGCTCAGAGCTCGATTGTTTATCCATTTAATTTCTGGTTTTCATATAAGTTTAGCTAACAGGCATTCAGAAATCATCCAATTACTTTCAAGGAAATTTCATAAAACAGCTCTATTTGAGGTAAATGACCAGAAAATATTATTTTTCACTTTACTTCAAGTCTTCCTTGATAATTCACATGCAGAATAGATGCATCTATAGAAAACATTTTCTGCATACCCATGGAGACTAAAAAAAATACAAGCAGCATGTCCAAAGCAAAGGTACTTGAACAGACTGATGTTTTTATATTTATCTAGTATTCTTCACCTTAAAGGAACACAAAGTACCTTACAAGAATTGGGCTACTTAGCACTAATATGCAGCTGCCTCTGAAGTGAAATTCAACAACTGTTAAATGGTGTGCAGCAGCTTACAACAAGAGCTGAAGATAAAGGTGTTCAACTGAATCAAGCAGGAACTTGGAGGAATAATGAAATCTGTCACCTACACAGAGATAACATTTAAGATATATTTTGTTTTAGCCTCAAATAATGAAAAAATTTTAAGGACTCTTGTTAAAAGACAAGCATAACATACAAAAGCTTAATTCTAAGAGAAATGGAAGGTGTGCCAAAAGACTCCAACTGGAGTCTGCCAAAAAGGCAAATACCCATCTAATGACAAGCCACTTAAGTGTGTGTGTCCGTCTTCTGAGGATGGGTGAGATCTGAGAAACAGACATTGGGAACATAATTCCCTAAGACAGTCAGGATTTGAGTACTGTGTTCAGTTCTGTGCCCCTTAGCAGAAGAAAGACATCCAGGTGCTGGAGCAGGTCCAGAAAAGGGCAGTGGAGCTGGTAAAGTGAACTGGGCTGAAGGAACTGAGTTTGTTCAGCCTGGAGAAAAGAAGGCTCAGGAGGGATGTTATTGCTCTCTACAACTACCTGAAAGGAGAAATAGGTCAAGGTGAGTGTCAAGTCTCTTCTCTCAAGTAATAAGTGATAGGACAAGAGGAAATAGCCTCAAGCTGCACCAGGAGAGGTTTAGATTGGATGTTGGGAGAAATTTCTTCACTGGAAGGGTTGTTAAGCACTGGAACAGGCTGCTCAGGGCAGTGGCCAAGTCACCATCCCTGGAAGTATTTAAAAGACACGTAGATGCAGCACTTACAGACAAGGTTTAGTGGTGAACTTGGCAGTGCTGTGTTAATGGTTAGATTCTACAATCTTAAAAGGTCTTTTCCAACCTAAATGATTCTAAGATTCAAAATTCACTACTAAAAGCCAAGATCTCTCCAGTCTTTCTGGCAGAGACAATGGCCAGGAATAAGGCTGCTCTAACAGATAGGTGAAGTAGGGACCACAAAGCCATAAGATCAAATGACAGTCCATTAAAGCAGTCAATACTAAATTCAAATTCTCCTTCAGGGTTCCATTACAGAAGAAATTCCACAACAGGGAGCATGTTTATGGATTTCAAAGGGTATGACAGTAGTAAGCTCACTGTGCTCCGAGCTGAGTACGTAAGGCTGAGCTCACAGTTCAGATAGACAAAACCAGGACAAATAAAAATAACTCAGACATTAAATAGAATAGAAAAGAGGGATTCCTGAAAATGAAAAAACAACAGGCTCAAAAAAGCAGCAGGGTCATGTCTCTCTATAGTCTTAGAATGAAAAACAACACTCCAGAATCAGCCAAGATGGCTGAAAGTTGCTGTAAAAGGATACGTAATGATCACTCGCATCGTGTGAGCCATATGTAGAGGAGGCAGAGCAGATGTGCATCTGTGAGTGTTGCTAAGGCTAAAGTATACGACTTGAGTGCTCAGAAGTATGCCTGTTTTGGTGGGAATATGCATACAGATACACAGTGCAAAACAGTGGGTTCTATTGTTTCAAATTGTCCTCTTATTAGTAACCCAATGTAAGATTAATTTGGGCTGAAATACATGAAAAAGGCATATTTTCTTCCTAAAAAGACAGAAAGAAAATGGTGTGTCTGTTAAATATTTAATATTAGAGATTACTAACCATCAGAGGAAATGAGAAAATGTATTAGAAAAGTCATCTTTATTTCTAAAATATATATTGCTTTCTTTGGAACAAACCTCATCAAACTAAGTGCCATGGTAACAGTTGTAAAGTGACATCTTAGAGGCAGTATTGGGTAACAAACAGGGAGTACACAGATGCAAATGGCCCTATCAGCAGTGCGTATCAAACCCAGGACTTTCTGCATTAGAAATGCTGGGCATGAGCTCCCTGACTGAATAAGCATATTGCAGTGGCATAAGATGAATCATCTATCTGGCATGTGAGAGATCTTGAAAATACGGATGAACTAATAAGGAATTCAATAGAGATCTATTGGGCAAAGAGTTATTTAAGAAGCATGCTTAGGTCTAAAACCTAAATGAAAAATAAAATCTTTTCCCATATTGATTCCTTTAACTTTCTCATATTATGTGTCTTCAGGCAGTATATCTGCAGCCTACACAACGGAAAGTATTAGCTTACCTTCACAGATACTTTTCACATCCTTTCTGTAATTTCATTACCTCTGCTCTAAAGAGCACAGATTAGGGCTCCATCATATTTAAAGGAAAAGCTATGGGGGAAGGGAGTAAAGAAGAAAATGATACTGTTCCTTCATAGATTGCTTTCCCTCAAGCACTAATTGTTTAAAAAAGGAATCCTTTTAAAACTAGAAATTTACCCTTGTCTTTTTAAAAAGCTACTTCTGTCCTCTCACAATAAAAATGAGAGGGGAGGCAGAAACAATAAAGAACTTTGTTACAGCTGAAACTCTGCTGTTTTGCAGATGGATGCTGCTGTAGTGGCTTTGGATAATCCTCCTAAATGTTCCATCCATCTTGTTAGCCATCACTTTCTCTACTCAGATAACTGTGTGAGAACACATGACATACATTTTTGAACGTCACATAGCACCTATCCCAACATACATATTTAGAACGCATACAACAACACATAGTCATTAGTTTTCTAAGAAATTATTATAGGGTTTATTCCTAAAATTACAGGTAAAAATTATCAAGCCACTTGTTACTTTCCCCTTTTTCCTAGTTTCCCTCACAGGCTCTAGGAAAGAACTGAGCTGCCCTTTTGCCCCATCCATTTTGCAGCTCGACAAATTAAAGCACTGTATCCTATTTTCACGAGCTGACTGTGCTTTGAAAATAAAAGGTTGCACATAAAGTTGTAAGACAGATCAAGGTAACTGAGGTAGAGATGCTGAACAGTCATTACAAAACGCTTCTCAGTTTTACGTCTACAGAAACATGATGATTATTTTCTCTTTTGTATTTAAACATAAGACCCCACTGACATTAGCAAAGATAGTTACTGCACAAAGCAGTCTTAGATAGAAAATTTCCTGATACCTAACCTAATCTCCCCTGTTTAAGTTTGAACCCATTGTCCCTTGTCCTATTGCTACAGTCCCTGATGAAGAGTCCCTCTCCAGCATCCCTGTAGGCCCCTTCAGACACTGGAAGCTACTCTGAGGTCTCCAGGCAGCTTCTCTTCTCGACGCTGAACAGCCCCAATTTTCTCAGCCTATCATCTTTGTATGGGAGCTGCTCCAGCCCCCTGATCATGCTCATGGCCCTTTTTGGACTTGTTCCAGCTGTTCCAGGTCTTTCTTATGCTGGGGACATGAGAACTGTACTAGAAATAACTAACTGGATGCAGACACGAGGAAGTTGGGATGAGCTGCCAGAAAAGACTAGCCAGAGCAGGGGCAGGGGCTTGGGAAGAATGAACCTGCTCCCTCAAGTGTCATTGCCTTTACATGGAAAGCTTGGAAACTGTGGAGCCATTGAACTCACTTCTAAAATTCCATCCTATTTAAAGTGCAGGAAGTGCTTTCATCTTATTTTAGAGCCACTCGCATGCATTCATGTTTAGACTTACCAAAAATAGGGTGCTAACATTGCTTCTGAAATGTGTGAATCAATTCACTGTTCCCTGTGTGTCCTTTCTTTCTCCTGACCGATTTCTGTGGTCAGCCTGTTTCTGTAGCATGTGGATTTATGAACTACCTCACTCACTGCTGCAGCTAATGACAAGGCCTGTGAGGATCAATGAAGATACTGCATGAGCCTAAAAAAGAAAGCAATGGACTGTAAAGTGAATGAAACAAAAATGGTTCCCCTCCAGGAAGTTCTCTTATGCCCAGCTCCTGACAGAATTGCTCTACACTACAATAACCAGAGATGGGCCACACACCAATTTGAAGATTCAGACAATTAGGGATGGATGTGTCACAAAGAAGATGGCCACCCACTTATACAACTCATATGTGATCTCTGTCATCAGGTTACATTCCTGCATCTCGCCCTGTGGGAATGATGGGATAATGTGAGTGAAATCAGTTTTGTTTTGAAATAAAGATGCTTTTGCTTTCTACACGGTCTCATCCTGAACAGCCCACATCATTGCTACAATTCTGCAGTATTAATTGCTGCAATCTCGCAGGAGCCCATATGCCCTTATTTTATTAGACTGTGTAACCAAGATTGTCAAAACTAGAGAACGGAGACTGCACTGAAGCAGGTGGAGTAAACTAGCTCTGGTAACTTCAGTGTAATGGTAGATCTAATCAGCTTAAAGCATCTGCCCCTTCTTTATTTATTTATTTCTTGTCCTGACTTTCAACTTTTAAGAATCATGAGCTGGTGAATAATTCATCACCAATTGAAATAAGTGAGCATCAGCTGGGGTTTTTATTATTCTTTTTAAATCAAAAAAACATGGCTCAAAACATTAATGCCTGAGGTAAAGATCTTTCTTTAGAGTAGCAGAATCTAATTTAGAAAAGTGCATTACTGATTCTATCCATTTGTCAGAATGTGCAGTGGTATTGTGCTCAGCATTGCCAGTACCTAGAAATGTAATGTGTATATGAAAAAAGCCAGGTGCATTGAAATTATCACTAATTTTATTAGAATTCAATAGACATTTAGTTCATTTAGTTCTATTTTAAGATTTAAATGTTGGCTTTGTCTTCACCTTGATGAAAATATACCAAAGAAAAAACCCACCTTAACGATTTATTTAGTGCTCTGGTCAAGTTGCAAAGGTTAAAGATGTATTTTTTTACTTCATATATATGAGCTAAAGTTACTACCTAGATAGCTTGGAAAATGAACTCTAGGGGAAAGACTCTTCCTGTCCTCTCCCATCTGGGCAGGTATGAAATGCTCCATGACCAGATTGGCTGTGGTTTATAACAGAGACTCTAGGTGGCATTTTAATATCTTTTAGTGTCAAATGTTTTGAAAGATTTACAGAGGAAGCTCCACCCTCCTCTAACTGATGTTTTACTGGAAACAAGCTCACTAGCTGTTGAAAGCACTTTCTCTATGAACTGCTAGAATTCCTGAAATAAAATGAGTAGTTTGACAGCAATATTTCCAAGGTTCTTCCACAGCTTTAGGAGACCTGGGAGAGACTTAGTATAAAATCTGACATTAAGTATTGTCCTGTTATTTTCATAAAATGAAGTTAGATTACACTGGAGACATCTGCTAAAGGAGGGTCAGAAAGCCTCAAAGACTTAATGTCATGCAAGAAGATAGATTATGATCCACTCACATATGGAAACCTGTAAGGAAGCCTATTATCATTACCACCTAAGATAGCTGAGATAGCAAGATATGCTCCTGTATCTAAAAATCTAATCATAGTCCAGTATAAAATGTCTCATTTCTCTCATCTGAAGTACCAGGCTTCCTTGCAAATATAGTTATCTTCTGTGTCTAAAGTCTTCACAGAATAAGCTGTTCCTTAAGTGCTGAATCCTGTATCACTGAAGCCAAAAAGAATGCGTGTGATTATCATTTCTCACCTTCCTTACTGAACTCAGCCTTTACTTTTCACAAGGCAACTCCCACTAACCCAGCAGCTCAACTCTGAAGTCACGTAACAGAGACAGAGAATTTCATACTGCACTATCAATATCCTAGAGATAACAACATAAAACTTAAAGAACACTGATTGTCTATTCCAGAAGTGCCAGTAGAAGCACCTAAGATGCTACAGTGGTGAATGAGTTGCAGACATGACAGAGAGATGAAACCACTTGCAGTAATGGATGAATGAATCACAACCACTTGGGGATGATACATTTTACCACAAAGAGAGGAATTCAATATTTATGCATAAGTAAAAATAACAAATGGCTGAAAACAATCAGAATACTTCAAGATGCTCCCACATATTTAGACAATACTATTTCATCCTCCCAGCTACTGAAAAAGCTGCATAGTTTATATTCACATAGTTAAGACCATTAGTAATTTTTCCATGTACTGTATTCCATACAACACTGATTTGCATTTTTAATACAGCTGCCCATCCAACGTAAGAGCACTTCAGTAAGCCAGGCAAATATTCCTATTTCAAGATGAACCATCTTCTTCCTTTTGTACTAGCTGGTAAGCTTCAAATGACTGGTTCCAAGTAACAGCTAAAAGCAGTCCTTTGATTAAACCATCTTCGATAAATCTCACTGGCCATTAAGAATAAATCCAGCAGGTCTAGAGATTGCTATCAGAAGGATCACTGTGTACATCTCCCCAGAAGCAATCTGTAGCATTCTGCTCCAAAAAGCACTTAAGTAATTTTTGCAGACTAATGCTGTCTTTGCCAAAATGCTTTGTGGCAATGAATTCCTCGATATATCCACACTACGGCAGCTGGCTGTACATAATTTCATGGAATACCTCCTTGTCCTTGTGAAAAGTTGTGCATGACTGTTCTCTATTCACCTGCTGATGTCTTAACGTGATCCCATGATGTCATACAAAAAGGACTTAGATCAGGCATTCCAATTCCTAACTTTTAGCTCCATTGAGTCATTTAACACTAGACTTCAGAATACAGCCCGAGGGCCTCATTAGGTCTGCTTGTGCTAGCAGCTTCTTGCAGGCTACTGGTTTTGATAGCTAATTACATCTTAAATCTAATTTTAGATAATCGAGTTTTAAATCTTTGTTGCTATCTCCACATGGAACTCAATTTGAGGTAACTAAAACACAGGGCATTTTTTACAAGTGTTAGTCATTTTGCCTGTTGCCTAATTTCCTTATTTATATAATAAGGAAAAGCAATACAAACCTTTGTGCTGTACAAAACTTATGCTCAACATTTATAAGACATCTGAATGGTTATGGCTGTGCTTCCCCCCCGCCATATTCAATATCTTACAACATTAAGGAAGAATTTCTAAATCATTAAAATGAAGTGGAAGGCCATCAGTTTCAAGGTTTTTATGTCATGGCTCTTAAAAAGCTTAATAATACTTCATGCAAGTGTAACAGTGAACAAACAGTTGTATCTACATGATAAAACTTTAAAGCTGTCAAATAATTGGCATCCATGAAAGAAAACCAGAGTTCAATGCACTGTTTAAAAAATAAATGAGATATTTGTCCCATTAAAACCACATTAAATTGTGAAACTGACAAAATAATAACAAATCATCTGGTAAATTTCCTGTCAACACAACGAGATAAGAACTTCTGCTTGCTAACCGGCTTTTCACACAGAAATCCAACTGGCTTCTAAGGATCAATATATGCAAAGTGGAAAGACCATTAGATTTATATTTCCTACTCATTTAACATCTACCCTGACTACCTCTGCAAGACAGACATCCACCTAAATATTTTTCTGTTTCTGTGGTTGGTTTTGCTATTGAACAGTAACAGGAAAGGGTAGGCCTCAGCATGCCACATTGCTTCAGGATATCTAACTCACACGGTAAAACCTCTGGCAGATAAGCTGCATAACTTAAGATACAGTTTGTAAGCAGTCAGAAGTGATACCTTTAGCTCAGGCATGTTTATTATAAGCTGCATAGGTAGTTTAACATCTGGGTCCTTTGTATAGTCCATAGGCACAACGTTTGGTGCCATTTCATGGTATCGGCCATGCAACCTGGAAACAAGCAGAAAGAAAACAGCCAATAACCAATTTTAAGTAACCAATTCCATTCATACAGTAATCAGACACAGATCTGTCTTGCAGCTCTCATTATTTTTAGTGACAAGTCTGAGCCCACCGAATTCCCATCTTTTTGACACAAAGAGGGCTTTGATGCAGTATCTAGTGTAACTGCTACTAACACTCATGTGTAACTTGAGGTACGTAACTAAGTGGTGTCACACACTCCCTGTATATAGTATTTAAGCATTGTACATATTGCCACATGCACAGAAGTAGACCTGGGCCAATGTACTAACACTGTGAGTATAATCCAAGGATCACAGCTGAGTGTGATATAATCAGCATGAAGGTATGACCTGCCATTCCTCTATGAAATACCATATGTGTAAGAAGAATAGGAAAGATTAGGTAGTTGCTGCTCACAGAAAACTTAGAAATCATAAATGTAATGTACTATAAACTGTAACTTTTATCATATGTGAAAATTTTGTCTTACATGTAATTCTCAAACTGCTTAGGGCAGAAAGCAATCATTTTGCTGCCTTATGTACTAACACAGAGTATTCTGGTCTCTCATTAGGTCACATGTGCTATTTATATATATTTAAAAGCTTTTTTCTTTGTGTTATAATGAAAAAAGTCACAAAACAAGGTATATTATCAACTGCAAATCAAGACTAATATGTTTGAAACAGCAGAACATAAACTGGTAATACAGCAGGCAATATCTCACCAACCCCTGCACCTTTACAGCTTTACCTTCAGCAGCCCCTCAGTCAGTCCCACATGAAACTGAGCTATCTCAGATTAACGAGGGCAATAAATTTCTAAAACTAGGAGGAAATAATCCACAAGCATCTCTTTTCTCAGCATCTCTTTGGGCATGATTATGATGTGCCACACATCACGTGAAATGGAACACAGAAACATGTTTTGTCTGGATCTTAGGAAACTCATGTCTTTACACTGTGCAGCAATATATCGTGCCATACAGGAAATTAAATATCCACCGATCTAAGCCTATTTCAGCTGCTGACCACAGCTCACCCTGACATTTCATAAATACTGTGTAATTCAAGATGCAATAGCCATTTCCCGCTCCAGCAACTGATTTCTCTGTTGTAAACAGCAGCTACAAAGATGCCCCTAATACAACAGAAAAAAGCCAGCTTAAAAGCACTTAAAGGAAAGCAAACCTTTCAAATCAAATATCCACCTATAGATTTTCCTTTTAAAGCCAGAACACTGAAATGGTGTTCTGGTCTTCATGAAAATAACACATTAATCATTGGAACAGCTTGACCATTGTGGGCATCATTTCAAAACACACCAGCCAGCAACGTCTGCTTATTTTAACTGCCAGGATTGTCTTCACTGCTTTTTCCAGTATTAGACTTCTCTGCATTTGGTCTGTCTCATCCAACAGGACTATGAATACAGACACTGAATTGGGCATCTTAAAGGAGTAGGGGGGCTATAGGGATGCTGGGGATGGACTATTCATTAGGGACTGCAGTGATAGGACAAGGGGTAATGGGTTCAAAATTAAACAGGGGAGGTTTAGATTGGATATAAGGAAGAAGTTCTTTACTGTAAGGGTGGTGAGGCACTGGAATGGGTTGTCCAGGGAAGCTGTGAATGCTCCATCCCTGGTGGTGTTCAAGGCCAGGTTGGACAGAGCCTTGGGTAGATGGTTTAGTGTGAGGTGTCCCTGCCTTGGAACTGGATGATCTTAAGGTCCTTTCCAACCCTAACTATTCTATGATTCATAATGTGTTTCAGAAAACACAGATGGGATTGGAATAAAGTTATCCATGTTTCATAGTTTACTAAGCTTGTTCTATTAATCTAAAATGCAAGGAATGGAATTTCTCTTAGTTTTCAATAAAGAACTCTCAAGAAACCTTGTCTGCAACAAAAAATATTGCTTGGTCAATTTCTACTGGGAATGAACATGTGACAGAAGTCTGGGAATGTAGTGGGAAAGTATCTGTTACTGAAACACAAGCATATCACAAGAACCTATTAACTGACAAAAAAACCCCACCCACAACAGTGGGAATTTAAAGTTCCTTTAGTGCTGGGAATAACACAGTGCTACAATAGAAACTGAATCCTAAGATGACAAATAAGAAGTACTTATTACGGGTGCATAAAGCAGCACTTGACTGTCACCACTGTGACCCACAGAGACCTAGTACTCAGTACTATTTTGACAGAAGTATTAAAGCTTCTTATGATGCTCACCAAATTAAGTAAGAAGTTTTGAAACAAGTATCTACAGAGCAAGTAACATTATTCTAACATAAGGAATACCCTCGTAAGGCATGTGACAGGTGGCAATGCTGTGTCCCAGGCACTATCTGCTGTGAGGCAACAATCTTGTTTCAAGGATGAAGGCTTAGAGGGAGAGCGATCAAAGAGAGGACACAGCCACAGCTCTACCAGCTACTTACTGACATTCCTTTTCTCAGGACAAACGTTTGGTCCCTTTACAACATGCAATATCAGTGCAAAGTAAACCCTTCATTTATTTCTTGCTCCCGGAATTGACCATCTTGCCCACAGAAATGAAAATCACCTATTTATACTGAAATGATTCCAAACTCTACAGCAGCTGAAAGAAGAATCTAGTTTTTCAGCTGGAAGGATTTGTGATGTTAATTGCAGGGCACTTAGAAGAGCAGCTAGGTTTTGCATTAGAACTACCATCTACTCTGTCTTCCCAGATAAGGCCAGCAAAAGCACTCCTCTTACTGTGGTGGAGCACCAGTAGTGGGTCCATCTGATGGCACCAGGATAAGTACAATTACTTGGGTTTTCCTACTACTTCAGACAATGAGCTTTTGCTGTTCCATCAAGAAAAATGATCCTAGCCTAGCACATTCACACCTCCATACAATGTAAATACACTCATTTCAGAAGGCATCTCCCAAAAAATTAATTCAAAGTATCCCTCAGAAGGGATTAGATTTTAGCTAAAAACATTGCAAAAGGACACAGGATAAACAAGTTCCTTTAGCTTGCTGCCACAGATTATAATGGAACAAATTCCTCTTTCCTTTCTGCAAGGAGTCACAGCCAGAAACACCAAGTTAACCACCACATCTGCTGACAGAACTCAATTTTTGCAGTCAGAAAGGAAAATGCATGGCCCAGGGATGCAAGGTGGGGAAAAACAACCAAAGCAAGAAAACGACTCCCCCACCAAACATCTTTACCATAATACACATACCTACCTATACATGTTAGTATGTCCAGTTTCTACACCTCTATTTTATTCAGAAACATCCATAATGCACATAAGATTTATTTTCACAGAAATCTGTTAATATGTTCCCAGTCCATCCCTTTGAAGTAAAGTCTTTCTTTTGTCTCTGAAGAGGAGCAGAAAGGAGTTGCCAGGCACTCCTGTAAGCAAACAGCTTTCCAGCACACGGCTCAGCAGGACTCTGCTAGGATACCTGGAAGGCTTCTGATGAACACAAAAACCTGCAAATAACTAACTGCAGATTTGAGGACAGCTCTGGTACTCTGTTCTCCTCCCACTAACTCTTCCATTGATTCACCAAATCACTCTGATATCTGTAGGTATAAGTGCTTTCCACCTGAGTGGATTTCACACTAAAGCATCCAAATGAGTCTGTAGCAAGTGGCTGTGACCCAACTTCTGCAAAGTAAATTACAGCACAAAATACTTTCACACATTTTTATCTGCAAGGATCCTGCAACTCTGTTTGTGCTAGCTTCGTTACATGGCATGATCAGCTAACATCACAGTGAAAAAGGCCATAAGATTTCTATACCTGAGGTTCCAAATCAATATGCAATATGTTGCACAGGCTCCATTAGCCTTTACAATAAAACAAATGCAAAACCCCAACCGACTGAACAACAAAAAGTAGTAACACCTTCTCCCACTCAAAGCTCTTCATGCTGGCAAGTTCTTCAGGGACACCATGTACTGGTTTACGGCAAACTGGATTGCCGGTCTCGAGTGGCCAGATTTTGCAGATAACAGGTTAAAGAAATGACAGAGCTGCTTCAGTCTCTTAAAGGATTCTGTGAAAGCCACATGTCTTTTTGCATGAGTTTCAGCAATGCTTCTGTTTACTGGAGTAACCCACATTACACTAGGTGAGTACCTACCTTTTGACAAGTAAACTGGATGCATTTCTGATTATTCTATACCACAATGTAAAGATCAGCAGACATGAGGGTTATTTACACCCACAATCCTCCTACCTTTGTGCAATACGCCACTACATCAATTTGTCATGCCACTGCCATGCTTGGACCAAGTACCATGACCAATGCTGTGAGTCAGACCCAGTAACCATCTCCCCAGTGCTGCACTGTTTGGCACTGTACATATTACTATCTGCTCTGACACATCTCTCAATAACATCAATTACTAACTATAAATAGAAAATAAACCAACCTCTGTGGTAAAGGCTGTAATATTTCTCCTGTTCTTAGAGAAGCAGAAGGCACTTCGGGTGAGTTGAATACATCAGAGCAGTTATGACCTACAGAGGGAAAGGCTTTTTGTCCTTTTACTCAAGAAGCATCTCTGAAAATAACCTAAAGCTGCTTTAGCTGTCAGAGCTCGTCACAGAAACATTTGTGTCTTGTCAGGGGTTTTGCAGTGTCATCTGAACACATAGATTTGGGAAGATTGCCATTATTATCACATACAGACCACTACATATGCTCAGAAGGCCAGGCCCTGCAACCAGCGTCACTGTCTTTGCAGTAGTGATTACAGATCATGGAGTGATAATCGCTTCAAAACAATTCTTCTGGATGCATGCAGAAGCATCTTCACCTTCCTGGATGGACTCTTTGTTTCCAGGATGCCTTATGTATCTGCATGGAAGAAGGAGAGGAAAAGCTGGCAGTGTTGACTAGTGTCTTCCCTCCACTAAGCTTGATGTACTATATTCAAGGATTAAGGCTGTGATTCTGTATCACTTTAACCTAGTCTGAAC